GCCAACTTGGTCCAGGTGATCGTCGGAAAGAGTTCATGAAAAATATTTCTGAAGACAAATTACACATCCTTAAAGATATTAAATAAATCACTGTAAATAGTTTTAATTAGTTTTAAGGAATAATAAGTGCAAAGTCACATTTGTAAGCGATGAATTTTATATTATAAATAAAGGCCGAAATGGCTCTTAGGAGCAGTATGTTTCGTTGGCTTTATTAAAATACAAGTCCCAATACATTATAATGCTTATAATAAAATACTAACACTATCTTTGCCTAAACTCTGTAAACCTCTATAAACATCATCGTTCGTGCAAGTTCTTGTTCATGTGACTTACCCTACTTGTATTCATTGACTCAAAGTAACCGAAAGCCTTAATCACCTACCAGCCAAATTTAACACCTCTTTCGAAAAGGTTACTTATTGTATATTACATGAAATATTAAATTATAGAGCGACAGAGTCACAATCTTCTAAACCCAATACTGCCAATATAACATAATCATTAACATGTAAGCTTAAATTTATATAATTTGACATGTGATCACATTATTTTGGAGTTACTATTTCAGATTATTAAGCTATAATAAATGTTTATTTATCATTATAGATACTTATAGAAAATCAGTAATTATTAACAGAATCTGCTTTATTGCTTCTGATATTGGTGGATGTTTACTTATCATATCAAATGAGCATGATGACTTAGAAAGAATTAAAATGGATCTTAGTGTTCATAGATTTCACAATAAAAATTTGACTTTTGATTATGATTTAATAGATTTTTATAATTTATTGAATCCTGTTAATGCTGAGAAACTCTTTAGATGCTTAAAGGCTAAAATTAAAATGCCATATATAATTAAATCAGATTTCATTATTTATACAAATGAGGAAAAATTATTCATTAAAAAATTGGTAAAACAATTGGTTAAAGATAACTGAATTAATTATTTGAGAAATGATTTGAAAGATTATAACAAAATTTCTACATCTTCAGGTAAAAATAACATTATTGATTTAATAAAAAACATTGATATTACAAAATATATTTGAGAAGAAAAGACATATGAAGAATATTTAACAAATTGGAACTTAAGTTGTAAAGATATAATATTTGCTCTTGAAGTGGCTCGAGAAAAATTCAAAGTATTCAGAGAAAATAGGCAAGAATTAGTACATATAAAAAATATGTTGTAAGTAAGTATAAAGTTCTTAAAAATGATAATCTTATTATAGTTACTGAAAAGTGTGTAATTCTCTGAACATATAACATACTTAAGAGTATAAGTGTGCATTATATTTGGGGTGTTGATAAAGATATTTCAGACAAATATTGGGAAGAGATATTTAATGATTCTTTGACAGAAAAATTTCTTCTACAATCTGACTTCAATGGAATTATCAAAGAGGCTAATAATAAATCAGATAAAGATACAACTAATTTATATAATTTGTTATTAGAAAATTATATTGAAGATAATTTTTTTTAGCACAATGTAGTAAAATACTTATGAAGAAAATTTTAATTTTAAAGAAGAACTGGTAGGTTGAAAAATTATATGATAATTCTATTAAAAAATGCTCATATAAGAATGGTTATGATTTATAATTAAATCTTCAGTCATTAATTATTATAGCTCGATTTTATTCAGAATTAATTCAAATGAATCCTATAATAATATATAATTTTTTATTGCAGATGGCATTTATGGTTCCTTCTATTGAGAATTATTATGCATACTATAATTCATTATAATCATCACCTTATCTTTACTATTATAGTTCATATTATAATTTATATAAAACATTCTACATTAATAATGCATTTTTTATTATTTCTAAATATTGTCTAGTCTTTAAAAATAATTAAAAGTCTTTTTTTCAGAATCAACTAAAACTATTTGAAAATTACTATAAGCTGTTATTTTCTTTTATTTGAAATTACCTTATAAAACCATTCAAAAATTGCTATAAAATATACTATTTAGATCACAATGCAATGATCAAATTATTATTTTCTTTACCTTATTTTGTTAATTATCCTAAAAAATTTAATACTTTAAAGAAGTTATAGAAACCTGAACCCAGTTCCTTTACAAAATCAATTGATTTAGAATTATACAAAACTTGGAATGGTGAAACCTTTTTAAAATTCAAGTGAAATACTTATGGAAGATATTATTATTTATTAATCTGAATGATTTATACTATTTTTTTTGTTGCTTTACTACTGTAGCAACTTTGTCAATAAAATTTCTTAGGCTTGTCAACAAATTCTTTTAACATTTCTATTTTGCTTAGTATCTGGCAGTTTATTTTTGAGTTTCGACAGTTTGTTTATTCTCCTATACTTTGTATTACTTCTTTATAAAACTATATTGATAATTATAAGTTTCGCTATTTGCTTATATTTTGTTTTATTCTATTCTAATTTTATATTATTTTTTATTATAAAGATTTGGGTGCTATTTTACTTCTATTTATAATGTTTGTTATATGGCTTAAGGATTATACTGCACCAACTTGGGCAATTATCTTTTTTACATTGTTACATGAATTAAAATTTCTTACTTATTTTCAGGCGATTGAATATATTGGTATTTATTTTGCAATAATTATAGGTGTAACTAAAAGAGCCTTTTTATTTATAGTTATATTAGCATTTATTGTGTTTACTTTTGCATACTCTTTATATCTCTTACTAAGACCTGCTACTGATATATCTTTGAATAAACCAAGTTATTCGAATAATCCAAATAATCTTTGGAATTTAGTAGCAGAGTACTATACTGTAAATCCAGATTGTTTTATCAATAAAAACCTTTCTCTTATTGAACCTCAAATGCAAATACAAATATGTTTTTAATACTAATATCTGCAATTTTAGCTGTTTATATTATGCTTACAGGTAATAATCTAGATTAAATCATACTTTTTTTTTTTTTTTGAGTTGAAGTTCCTGTCTATGGAAGTTGATGTTTTTATTTATATATTTGAACATGGGTAACTCCAAGGACTCCGTTACATTGAAGGTTATAACTAGCCATACATGTACTTTTGGTGTCTAATTTAAATAGTTCACCTATATATTACTATACAGGTTTTACACTAGGTGCCATACCTGTAAGCAAACTATGGGTTTTGCCTATTTAAACCCTCTGCATATGTAGTCCATCATGTCTCACGAAGACATCTTCAAGGCTACATCCATTCAAAGTACCTGATGCTTTCAAGTACTCTTAGGACTAGTTTATCTTTGGCAGTAAACTTACTAGAACCTTTTGTGTTCCATACACAGCTAATTTAGTTTTATACAATATGCTATAGTTATCTAATACTTGCAGTCATAGGGGTTACCTGTTTAACTGCTATGTTATACTATTTCTACTCTTATAAAGTTCACTAGAACCTCAGTACCTATCATCATA